AACACCTTCACCCGCTGGTGCAACGAGCACCTCAAATGCGTCCACAAGCGAGTGGGCAACCTGCAGACGGATTTGGGCGACGGGCTGCGGCTGATCGCGCTGCTCGAGGTGCTGAGCCAGAAGCAGATGGGCCGCAAGTACAACGCGCGCCCCACCTTCCGCCAGATGCAGCTGGAGAACGTCTCGGTGGCCCTGGAGTTCCTGGAGAGGGAGAACATCAAGCTGGTGTCCATCGGTGAGGAGGGGGTTTGGGTGGGGAGGGGGGTTTTTTTTATTATTTGGGGGTTTTTGGTTTCTCCGCCCGGCCTCGGAAATGGTTTTGGGTGGGGTGGGGGGTTGTGGTTTTGGGGGAGGGAAGGGGGTTTGGGGTGAGGAGAGGTTGGGAACGGCTCGGAAATTGGGGAGGGGGCGTGAGATCGACGCCCAACCCCCTCCCCGAAAATGTTTAGGGGGTGATGAGGGTGTGGGGGTTGAGGTTTTGGGGGAGAAAAGGAGATTTTGAGGGGTTGGTGTTGGTGAGGAAAGGCTGGAAAGGGTTCGGAAATTGGGGAGGGGGCGTGAGATCGTCCCCAGACCCCCTGGAACAGCTCAGAAATTGGGGAGGGGGCGTGAGACCCCCATCCGGAGAAAGTTTTGGGGGTGGGGGAGGGTGTGGGGGTTGAGGCTTTGGGGGAGAAAAGGAGATTTTGAGGGGTTTGTGTTGGTGAGAAGAGGCTGGAAGGGGTTCGGAAATTGGGGAGGGGGCGTGAGATCGTCCCCAGACCCCCTGGAACAGCTCAGAAATTGGGGAGGGGGCGTGAAAACCCCCCCCCCGGAAAATGATTTGGGTGGGGTGAGAGTTGCGGTTTTGGGGGAGGAAAGGAGGTTTTGAGTGAGAAAAATGGGTGGTGTTGGTGAGGAGAGGCTGCGAACGGCTCGGAAAGGGCTCGGAAATTGGGGAGGGGGCGTGAAATCGTCCCCGAACCGCCTGGAACGGCTCGGAAATTGGGGAGGGGGCGTGAGATCGTCCCCGAACCCCCTGGAACCGCTCAGAAATTGGGGAGGGGGCGTGAGACCCCCACCCGGAGGAAGTTTGGGGGGTGGGGAGGGGGTGGGGGTTGAGGTTTTTGGAGGAAAAAAGGAAAATTTTGGGAATTTGGGAACCGCTCAGAAATTGGGGAGGGGGCTTCAGCTCCCCCTTCCCCCGGGAACGGCTCAGGAAGGGGCTCAGAAATTGGGGAGGGGGCGTGAGACCCCGATCCGGTAAAAACGTGGGGGGTGGGAGTGACGGAGGATTTCTGGAGGAAAAGGAAGTTGGAAATGAGGATTTTTTTTTGGGTTTTTTTTTTTTTTTGGGTTTTTTTTTGGGATGAAAAAGTGAAAAATCTTTGAAATTGGGGAGGGGGGCGTGCGACCACCCCCCAAAAAAACCAGCGTGATGTTCGGGGTGGAGCCACGGGGAAAGTTCCGGAGAGTTGAAATTTTTTTGGGGTAAAAAAAACAAAAAGCCAAGAAAATCGGATTTGTGGTGGTGGGGAGGGGGCAAAAAATCCTCCCCCCCCAAAAGAATCCCCCTTGAAGGATCTCGGGAATTGGGGAGGGGGCGTGCGACCACCCCCCAAAAAAGCTCTGGGGAATGGGAATTGTGGAAAAATCGGATTTTTGGGGGAAAAAAAATCGGAGCTCGGAGGGGTTTGAGGTGATGAAAAAGCGAATTCCTCCCCAAAAAGTGCCGGAAATTGGGGAGGGGGCGCCCGGAAGACCCCCAGAAATGGGGGGAGGATCACAGGGAGACCCCCCCCCAGAGGCTAAAAATGGGGAGGGGTCTCCGGGCAAGGGAAAATCCGCTTGGTTTTAATGGTGAGGAGGGGGCGGGACCCCGGAAAGTGCCGGAAATTGGGGAGGGGTCCTCAAAAAATGAGAGGGGGGGAGGTTCCGATCCCCAAATTGGGGAGGGGTCTCCGGGGGGGGGGGGGCATCGATCTGGTCCCAATTGGAGAATGGGGAGACCCCTCCCCCCCCCCAAAAGACCCCGAAATTTGGGGGAGGGGTCCCAAAATTGGGGAGGGGTCCTGGAAATGGCGACCCCCCCCTTGGATAATTTGGGGAGGGGTCCCGGGGGCTCCGGGACCCCCCCTCAAATAACCCCAGAGGGATAATGGGGGGGTCCTGAGACCCCTCCCCTTTTTGGGGACCCCCCCGGGAATATTTTGGGGACCCCCCCCCACATTTAGGGCGGGGCTTTGGCGACCCCTCCCCCCCAAATCCCACCCCGGGGGGGGCTGGGAGACCCCTCCCCCACCCAGGGGGGGCTGTTTAGGCCCCCCCCTAATTTGAGACCCCCCCTCAATTTGCGACCGCGGCCTCTCAATTTAGGACCCCTCCCCAATTTTAGGACCCCTCCCCAATTTTAGGACCCCCTCCCCAATTTTAGGACCACCCCCCCCAATTTTAGGACCCCCCCCCCAATTTGGGGCCACCCCAGAATTAAAGGGGGTGGGGGGAGGGTCCGGCCGCTCCTCCCAGCGCAGGAATTTGGGGAGGGGGCGCCTCTGGAGGGGTCCCGGGGTTTTTTTGGGGGGGGTCCCGTGGGGGGCGGGGCGGGGGGCGGGGTCTCGGCGGTGCCGAGCCCTTATAAGGCCAAAAAATGCTGGAGCGGGGGGGGAGGGGCCGGAGCCCATCCCCC